GGGGGGGGGGGGGGGGGGGGGATGAAAGACTAGTTTACAAAATAATATCACATGCACCCAAACGGGGTAATCACATCGAGAGACAGGAACAACAAAAAGAAAATCTAAAGATGATACAAACCTTTACATATTTGGACACTATCATGGGACAAAAATAAAACGAATAAATGAAGCAAAAAGAATTGAACAAACACGTTCATGTGCAAATTGCAATATAGAATACACATACCTTCTACAGTTCAAAGATAAAACAGGTAATAGATAGCTGACCTATTACTTCTGGTTGGTAGAGGTTGGTAGTGCCCTTCTTCTTCAACAGGCTTCCAAATTTGAGCAGCAAGGGTTTCTTCTTTTTCTGACTTTGTTGTTTTGGAGGAGAGCTTCCACCATTATTGAGATTTTTGGGTAGCCCATTGACCTGGTCATAGCTCTCACCACCCTCGGTCTTTGAGTCCAGTTCCTCCTCAAAGGATTCATGTTCTGGCTCTCCCTCCGTAGAGAAGTCTTTTTCCTCAATCTTGCAGCTCTCCCACGTCTTAAGATCAACATCTGCAGAATCATCATCTTCCTTTTCTTTCTTCACATTATCTTTTAGGTTTTCATTCATGTTCTCAACTTCAGTGGCAATCTGAGCAGATTCATGGTACAATACATCATTTACTTCTGCAGTCTTCTCTACAGGTAGCTCCCTCTGTTGAGGTTGGAGCTCCATCTTAGGCTTCCCGTCTTCCGTGCCATTCTTTTCGGAGAACTCAACCAAGCCATTCTGTTCGGAAAACTCCACCACTTTTGGAAGCATATCATAATCTTTTTCACTGTCCGTAAGCTCACCATTTTCCTCGACAGACTTTTTAGGCAAGGCTTCTTCAAGCAACTTAGATAACTCCTCAACCTTCTTAAGAGATGCAGCTTCTCTAATTTGAAGCTCCTCATTCTCCTGAAGTATATTGTGTAATTCATTTTCTTTGTCCATTAAATTCTCTTTCCATCTCATGCTCTCAGCCTTTGCTTCACCGAGGACTTCCTTTAGGTAACTCACCTCTGATTCAGCTTCCTTGAGCGAAATCTTCAGGTGGTCTTCTTCCTCCTTTGTTGCAAAAGCTTCTTCCTTTGCCACATTTAGCAAATTAACCAGTTTGCTTATTTCTTTTTCCATTGAAGAGTTCTCTTCTTCAGATTGCTTCAAACATTTCATCAAATGAAGCTCCTTCTGTTCCCACTCAGCCTTTAAGTTCTGGTGATCATGCTTTGACTGTTCAAGATACTTAGTGAGAGCCTCAATCTCTTGTTTCGCTTCGTCAAGCATGCTTTCATACTTCTCATTTGTTCCTTTCAAAACCAGCTCCAGATCTTCTATTTGAGTTTCATAGTTTTCGTTCTCAATTTGAACTGAAGATAGCTTCTCTTTGGCTTCTCTTGCCTCCAAAGAAACTTCATGCAAAGCTGATGCTAAACTTTCCATTGCTTTCTTGCTCTTTTCTTCTTCATCCCTAGAATTTTCCAAATCATTTATCAGCTTATGTTTTTCTTCCAATAAAGTTTGCACGCTGTCAGCTGCGAGCTTTTCATTGTTTGAAGCCAGAGTTCTCTCTTCTTTTACAGTTTCAAGCTCAGACACAAGATATTCAACCTTTTTCACCATTTTAGAAGCTTCTTCCTTGGCTAGTTCAAGTTCGTGTTCTGATTCCTCAAGTTCCCCTTTCTGCCTTCCTATTGAGATTTCCAGCAATCCCACCTTCTCTTTAAGGGAACTAATCTCGGATTCTGCATCATGCAATGAATCGTTGCTTTCTTCAAGTTGTTTCATGACCGATTCCAGGGATTCTGAAGCAGATCTCTCCAACTTCTTTGCTTCCTCTGCCTGAAATTGTAATTCTCGAACCCTCTTCTGCCAGTCATCCACTAAATCATGTGCATAAGATTCGGCCATTTTTGCTGCCTCCAGATCGACATTAAGTTGCTCTAAGGTAGCCTCTTTCTCTGCCAGTTTCTCTTCATTAATCTTTGCCCTTTCAAGTTCTTGTCTCAGAGAATCAATCTCCAATTTCAGTACTTCCACTAACTTATTGTTCTCATTAACTTCAATTTCAACTCTTGAGTCAAGCATGGATTTCAATCGATCCAATTCAGCAGAAAGAATACCCACTTTTTCTGCATAATTTTCTGCATTTTTTGATGCATCCTCTGCATGGCTGAGTGCCTGGTTTTTTTCATCAGAAACCATTGCTAGTTTTTGCTTCACCTTCTCAAGTTCCTGATTGGCAGATAGGAGGGCAGCCACATCCAATGCATGCTGGGTTCTCACTTCTTCAATCTCTCTCTTCCATTCCTCGTCCTTCTTTTGGGTTGCTTCAATGCCAGCCTGTTCCATTTCAACTGCTCGGAACTTTTCAATCTCAATATTCTCTTCAGCTCGCTTTTGAGCCGCCAAAGCCGCTCTGAGTTTCCCATCTGCTTCCTCAGCTGATCTCCGCGCCTCAATCAAATCATCAAGAGCCTTTGCCTTTTCTTTCTCAAGCAAAACCAACTTATCGTTGGCCTTCTTAAGATCTTCCCGAGTGAGATTTAACTCTTCCTGAATTTCTGATGGCTTTGAAGTTCGAGTTGGTTTTTTCTAGGAATACAAAGAGTTAAAATCAACAAACATTGTAACAATCCAACAGTGGCAATTTCCAGCCACTACGTACCACCAAAAGCAACCATTAAATATGAAAAAGTACACTTCCACGAAAGAACGTTACTTAAACTTACATCAGGTGCGGTACTGAGCTTGGGAGACCTCCGGTCTAGTACAGGCTTCGGAGTGACCAGTTTTGGGGATCGATCAACTGAAAGTCTAGAATTTTGCAGGGGAGACGCAGAATCAGCATCAGATTTGGCCACTCCCCTGCCCGATTTGCTGACCCCAGGAGTAGCTGGTGATGCTCTTTTGTTGTGAGTTTCAGAAGCTGCAGATCTGAGTGATCACAAAACTTTAATTTCCAGGTTCCATAATCAAAATCCCAATACTCAAACAAAGCAGACAACAGAAGATCTGTTTAATCCACATTCGTCAAGAAATGCAAATTAAACAAAATGTGGAATTTGGATTAAATCCAAAGATAATCTTTCCACAGAAATAAGATATTCAAGCATCTGATGACAGATTACGAAAAGAACGAGTAAGCAAAAATTACGCTTGAGAATCAGGAATCCCTACCAAAATGATAAAGGATTGGAATATAAAAAATAGTAATTTTGAATCCACGCACAATCCTACGCCCAAAATATGAAATTCTATACATTATTACGCAAAATGACAATCATAAACAAGTCGTAATGAATTAGAAGTGCAAATACAAACACTCAAAAAGGAAGAAAAATCCCAATTCAGATCCTTATTCATATAAACATACAGAGTAGGACACAACACTTACTTGGACTTGGTATACATGATGAATCGGAAGCAGATTTTGCAGCAAAAAAGTAGAAGGTTGAATTGAATGGGAGAGGCTAAAACTGAGCCGACATTATTATCTTTTGTAAGAGAATGTGTGATACTGACCGCAGTATATGTAATTACAAAGCAGATTGTAAAGACAGAAGAGCAGTACAATTGAGAATTTACAGAAAAATAATGCTGATTTGGGTTGGTGACTTGGTGTTCTTCTCCAACTGTTGCCCGTTACACTCTCTTCTCTCTCTCTCAACTTTTCCAGGATTATTTTCAGACAAAATTTACGAAAGTACTCCTATGTAAAACGTGGCCAATGAATCTTCTGTCTTCTCAAAGACGAAAATGGGTAAATTGCATCCCGGGTCACTTCACTTCAATTTTATAATTTCACAATTCTGTCACTTATCGTCTTCAAAATTGACTTAATTTAGAACTTGTTTGGTAGAGATTTTTGGAGGAATAATTGACTTTGAATAGTGATGTGATGAGAAATGTGTGGTTGAAAAAGAAGAAAAAATTATTGATGTGATGAAAAATATTATTTTATTAAAAAATGTGTGGTTGAAAATGAGAATTAATTTACTGTAGAAAAATCAAAATCTCTCCCAAACAGGGCCCTATTATCANTTCTCAAATAAAAAACAAACACCCCCTTACTTAGCGGCCATTTGCTATCAAATTTCTATGTAATCGATGCATGGTGTACTAAGGACATTGCCACAATGGTAAACTAGGTAATGTTTGATTGCAACGAATTCCATGAAAAATGTCACATACGAAGAAAATGAATTTCACTTTGATCGTTTGATTGCAACGTGAAAATGGAAATAGAATTCCAAGGTACAACTACTTTAAGTTGCATTTTCTTTATTTTCATGAAAAACGAATTCCTATGAGTTTGGTGGATTTTTATTTTCCAACTAACATGGAATTGAAATTCATTTACATCTTTGCCTATCAAACGGACCCTAATCAATTTTTGTAAGTTTGAAGTAAGACAACGTGAAAGGCGCTGAATTTGAAATAAATTTGAATTTAGTAACTCAATTGAGATAAATCAAAATTCTATGGTCGATTTGAATTTACGGAGAAAATTATTGACCGTGGATGAAATTTACCTTTGAAAAAAATATAATACTCTCTCCGTCCCCATGAAAATAATCTTATTTTCATTTTTGGTCCCTCCTAAATTATACTATCTCCGTCTCATTTATATATATGCTTGTTTTGTTTTTCACACGGATTCAGAAATCTTATTTAATGTTATTGGAAAAACAATTATTTGCAAAAAAATTCTTAGTTTATCCTCAGTTAATTATCAATAATTAGTAGTAAATTAATATTGGAAATAGTAAAGAAATAATGGTATATTAGTAAACGAACAAAACAAAACATTATTAATAAAGAAACAAGAATATATAATTGAGAAAAGAAAATAAGAAAAGTGATTATATATAAATGTGACAAGGGAGTTGTTTTGTTTCTTATTTGAGAGTGTAATTAATATATTAGTTTTCTAATATATCCATATTTAACGTGCTTTGTTATCACAAATATAAATCATTCCATTATTCAATTGTAATTGGAACAATAAATTAAAAAAAAACATTTCATCTTCAATGAAAATTATTCATTTATATTTGTATTGGATGACTTTGGAACGTTAATTATCTTGATTTTTGCATTAAACAATGATTAGTAAGAAGAATAGTTCCAGCTATGGGACGAACAGAGTAATTTTTATTTGAACTTAATTGAAAGAAATTAAAATTTTGTGATTCAATTGCAATTTTTCTGAATAATAATTTTACATATCCATGCTTGTCGGTCTTTTGTAATTTTGTTTTAAAATAAATAAAGAGAAGACAAAAAGATAAGGCACTCATTAAGGATCCAATCATGCTAACTACTTGGTTTCGAGGAACACTTAGAATTTATAGAATGGAATTAATCATGTTTATGTCCTCTAATAATTGCATTTATTATGAACTCAACTCCCATTAATGATTTTTTTTTAATTTATGCATGTTCTAGGAATGCTTGAATATTAAAATCTAACAAAATATTGTAACTTTTTTTTTTTTTTATTTCCACTGATGATAAGATGTGAAATCGTCTGTTATCTGGATTACGGTTGAGTACCAATAATACTGCATAATTGTATTCATTTTTAGAAGCATTTCTGTGGTTAAGTTGTCAAATCCGATTAGTCGACGTAGTGTGTGTTTATTTGATGAAAATGGGTTACTATTGAAAGAGATAAGTGAATAAGGAGAGTTGATTAGGTGAGACTTCAATATCATTATTATCTAAATACACCTCACCCACCCAATTCTGATGGATGGGGCTACCTTCAATTTCAAATAAAGAGAAAATCACTACTTCATCTTTTGCTGTCTCCATGCTTTTTCTTCTTTGAGAACCACATGGGCCTGACCCAAAATCGAATTTTAAAGTAGATTTTTCAGTTAAATTCTACTTAACATTGGTCTAGTTTTAATAAATTTTAAAATTGAGAATTCAACGACTTTAATCTAATTCTTGATTATAAGTTGAACAACCAAATTTTGATTCCAATTATTATTTAAGCCTTGTATGGGAGGGATTAAAATTGGATTAAAATTGAAAATATAGCCGTTATTGTTGACTTTTATTAAACGAGTGGGACCCAATAACGGCCATATTTTCAATTTTAATTGGCTTTTAATCCCTTCCGAACAGGGCTTTAATCTCTCAATTAAGTCATAATTCAGTGCAGTGTCGCCCACAAACATGATTTTATTCTTCACAATTCTCAATGCAAATCATTCGATCAAATTTTATTCTATAGAAACTTAGTCGGTGCCCACCATTAAATTTGGCCTTACCTAAGTTGGACAATTAAAATATTTTATTTTTCTCATTTCTCAATTATGCATCCACAAATATAATATTAATAATAGTAGTGGCCCACATGTATCCACGTCTTGACTTTTTTATGAAGAAAAAAAAAAGTAAGGGTCCATATGATACGAACGTGAAAAATACGTGGAAAGAAAATGAATTATAGGGAATTGAATTTTTACTAAGAATTTTAATTAATTGTATTTGATTGGTATAATTTTCTACTCGAAAAATGTTGAAATTTTGGTGTCTGTTTGACTTTATTTTTCATGAAAATTGTCCATTAAAATGATAATTTCTTTCACCATTTGGTCTAGAATTTGTTTCACTTGCAAAAAAATTTAAAAAATAAAAATTACCATACCGAATACCATTTGTTTGGATTTGTTTTGTATGAAAATTGTCAATAAAAGTGATAATTTTTTTTTACCGTTGGGTCTAGAATTTTTCCCAATTACCAAAAAAAAATACTGGAAAATGAAAACCCACCTGTGGGAACGCAATTTCAACAAAATCAAGGAAAATGTGCACGTGTGAGAGAAAGTGAGAAAAAAATTTCCATTGAAAATTTCTACTATAAAACAAGGCAAAAATTAGAAAATGGAAAAATAATTCCTAATTCTAGAGAAAATTAAGGGTATCAAACATGCCCTAACAGAATTTTATTTCCTCAAAATCTGGAAATTTTCTTCAAGCTAAACCCCTGTTTATCGAACTAGTTGTACTTAATGCGTGTGTTGCACGTTATTTTTTGTTAAATTTTTAAACCAACTCAACATGTAAATTAATAAAACTGGAATAATCTAAATACAGCTCTGATAAAATCGCTTATAAGTTGATTCTCAGATTAAAGATAAATTATTTTAATCCAAGTAGCTATCATCTTAACTATCCTCCTAGTCAGTCAACTACATCGACCATGAAATAATGAAAGACCACAAATTATTCAACGTTAAGCGTTCGGTTTAGCCAAAAATTGATAAAAATCTAAGTTAAAGTTAGCAATTAATTTTAATCACTCATTTCATAGAATCAACAACTTTTCAATCGTTCATTTCATCGACTTTTAACAAAGTATACTAAAAATACGACTTTTAGCAAAATCAAACGAGGGTTAAGTTTGATTCAAACAAGAAGCTGTTGTAGTAATAATAAACAGCAAAAATCGAAAAACACGAGCTTCAAATGTGCTGTAACAACTGGTAGAAGACAGAATAAGATATTAGAGTTCACACACAGCACATCACATGTCCCCTTAAAAACATTCAAAATTAAGAAGCCACATGCACATGGTGACAGATCAAGAACAGGTACATTTTTTAGTCAATTTCTCTCATTTCCAACACCTCATCAAGATTTTACTCCACATGGGAATAGTACTAGTTTAAGTAGCAAGACAATCAATCATATACATAAGGTTGAAGTACGATAGTGAGATTCTGGTTTACTCGTCATCATATGAAATATGGAAGCTGGAAGTACAGCCAGGTGCCTCTGCATCCTCCGCTCCACAACAATCATAGAACTTGGCAGCATAGGGAGGGTCATCCGGCCCCAACTCATAATACCTTCAATGCATGACGTGCAAAGATTGTCAACAAGCATTCTACAAAGGAAACAAAATAATAATGAACAGAAACAGCAAAATCTGTTTTTTTTCTTATTAACAAAACACCACATGTGCCTAAGTAGAGCGTCTGGCAAGTAATTCTCCCTATCCGTCTACTTCGGCAACATGATACAAAAGAGGGAGAAATGGTACCTTATCTCCAGACTAGGAGAATAAGAAAGGATTCCAAATTATAAACTTGGAGGTCTTACAAAAATGGGGTAAATCACAGTAAAATATGTCATTCGAGAACTAAGAAGCACGGACACAAATACGTCCATACTTGATTTGCAGAAAAATAGGACATGGGTATCTCAATCTAAATTCCTTCAAATTTTCGATTATATAATATATCTTTATTTTTATGCTTTTTAATATAAGACGTGATACATAGCACGTCATACACTTGCCCAAGGGGTGTTTGTAAAATATCTTTTGAGCGTTGGAATTTTAAAAAACAAATATGGTACTCAGCAGGTGGCTCATTGGAAGCAGGTATTGGACG